TTGGGACTAAATTGGCCCACTTTCTAGTATATAAAAGTATAATTTAAGTATAACAGTAGTAAACTTTGAGTACACAACTGGTTTACCTCTATGTTTTTAGTTTGTACTGCAACTATACTGAAAGTGAGCTAGTGATAGTTTATTAATTAAATACTTGTAGCATTTTGACGTATAGTCTCCAGTAAACTACTAGTTTAGTAGTTTTATACTGCAAGTATACTCGTAAGTTTCTTTAAGTGGACTTTACATCATACTTTAAGTATACTACTATATCCCTGTTTAGGTATTAATGTGTATATATGTTGTTATATGAATACCTGAACATACAAACATCAAAAGAACAGGGTATCTGCTTGTAAACAAAAACATTGTTTTCTAGCTTCATGCATTCTTTTTTAAACACTTGAATGCGCGTAAGTATCATAAGTAAAATAAATAAATAAACATTTTAAACAAAAAGCTGGAAAAAAAAAAGAGTCGATCAACACCCCAAAGCTCATTTTATTCCATAACGTTACACAGTTTTGATGCTGTTTTATGTCTGATGATCGTGTTAGATTACATGTGGAAGCATCGCTTGTTTTTCGGGTTTCTTCTTCGCTTGTGTTTTGGAAATTCTGTACAGAAGATGTGTAATAGCGCCCCCTACCTAACAATGAAAACATTCCCGGAGCACAAGTATAGTTCAAATTAATTTAGACTTTCTAAGCATAAGTAAAGTATACTTAAATGTCATTTTAAGTATATTTCTGAGAAGTACATAAAAAGTAGACTAATTTGCTATTTTAGTTTAAAAGTAGTATACTAATAGCACACTTGAATAAACTTTTTCACAAGGGCTTATATATAGCCTACATGGATGATTATTTGAGCATCAAGTACAGACATAGTGCAGACATAACATATTAAGGTAATAGAATAAAATATAATGCTAATAATAAACAGAATAGAAAATAAATGAAAAAAAAGGTAATAAAAATATAGATAAAACAGAATTACGAATGTGCAAATGTTTTAGGAAGTTATGTACACAACAGAGAGAAAATAGAATTATGAATGTGCTGTTTTACAGATGAAAAGTTTTGAGAAGCTGTACAGATGCACAGTCCTGAGATGTAATGTAGGCTATTGTTCCGGTGGACTATAGCCTGAGGGAAAACACTGTTCTTATGCCGCTCAGTGATGATTTATCTGTGTTGGAACGCAAGAACAGAAACAATGTTTTCATATTGAAGGCCAAAATAGATCTCGATTATGTAAATTATGCGCATCCATGCTCTTGTTTTCCTCTTTGTGAGACGGCAGAAGTGACGCAACCAGAAAGCAATCCGTATTTTTATGACTTTTCGAGATTTTATAAAATTTTCATGACTTCGAGATTTTGTTCATTTTGATGACTTTTTTGAGGTTTTGTTCAATTTTCATGGCTATTTGAGATTTGGTTAACTTTCACGATTTTTTTCATAATTGTATTCATTTTTTATCAGTTTCTGAGATTTTGATAAAAAAATTTTGTTCAATTTTCATGGCTATTCGAGATTTGGTTAATTCTGACTTTTGAGATTTTATTCAAGATTCATGACTGAGATTTTATTCATTTTTAATGACTTTTCAAGATTTTCAATTTTCATAACTTTGCAATTTTATACATTTTCATGACTTTTTCGAAATTTTATTCATTTTCATCAATTTCCAAGATTTTGTCAAATTGTCATTTTTTTTTTTTTTTTTAGATTTTATTTCATTTTCATGGCTATTCAAGATTTGATTAATTTCCATGACTTTGAGATTTTAATATTTATGACTTTTTGGAGATTTTATTCAATTGATGACTTTCAAAATTGTATTCATTTTCATGACTTTCCGGGATTAAATTGTCGTTTTTTTTTTTTTTTTTTTTAGTGTTCATGGCTATTCGAAATTTGGTTCATTTTCATAACTTTGAGATTTTGTTCAATTTTCATGAGTTATATTATTTTCCATGACTTCGAGATGATTAATTTTCATGAGTTTTTCATGAGGAATCTAATGTTTCCATGACTTTACAAGAGAAACATCTGCAATTTTTTTTATTGCAAATGACACAATTGCGTCACTAAAGATGACATGAGAAATAAACAGACTGAACATTCATCAAAACATACGATGGCACAAATGAACAGTCAACCAACAGAAAACTCAACTTTGCTTTGGATTTTTGCTTTCACTATTAAAATGCCAGGCTGGATTATTATAGCAGCTTTCAGTGTTTAATTCACAACGTCAACATGTCAGTTATTTCAAGCAGAGCTTATGATCAGCTAACAGACAAAACAATGAACCAAGAACACAACAATTCCAAACTGTCCTTCCGTTTCACAAAATATTTCATATTTTCCACTTTATCTGCTAAACAAACATTTCAACATTGCAATAGTGAACACTTTGTGCAAAGTCATCATAGATGACAAAAACATTTGCACAGCAATTAAAAGCAGCACACTGAACTGATCAGAGCCAACGCATTCGGTGAAGATTTAAAAAACATAAGATTCGTAAAACATTTAATCGCTGATGTTCATGAGGCCCGACTCAGCCTGAGAACATGTTATGCAGCCAGAAGGAAGAAGATTTAAGTCCATAAATCCCCATAAATGACGTAAAGATCACAGTGATGTATGTGATGGGCTCAGATTCGCTCCCAGAGCTGCAGTAACTGACTTCCTGTCTGCGGCTCCAGTTCCTGCTCAAACACACACACAGATCACACATTATCCCTCATCATCATCATCATCATCGTCAGTGAGATGCACTCTGTGTGTGTGTGTGTTCTGACCTGAGCGTCTCGGCTGATCTGCACTCTCTTGTTGTCGTTCCAGGGGTTCAGCAGCTGCTGCGTGAGCTGGAACGGCAGACCCTCCTTACGGATCCATTCCACCCCGAACACACCGCCCAGACCGGTCGAACCCCAGTCCAGACAGCGCTCGCCGCTGACCGCCGACGCCATGCGCGCGTAACCCTGCCCAAACACACCAGACCCAGACATAACCTACCTAACACTGTTCAGGAGGCAGACACACTCTGTCAGTTTAAATCTAGATTAAAGACCCATCTCTTTAACCTGGCTTACACATAACACACTTACACATTTCTAATATTCAAATCCGTTAAGGGATTGTTAGGCTGCATTAATTAGGACAACCGGATCCGGGAACACTTCTCATAACACCCGATGTACTTGCTACATTGTTAGAAGAATGGCATCTACGCTAATATTAGTCTGTTTCTCTCTTATTCCGAGGTCACCGTAGCCACCAGATCCAGATGAATTAACAGTGTTATTTTCCTGTTTATTACTGTGAAGCTGCTTTCACACAATCTGTATCGTATAAACTGCTATATTACGGAAACTCTGAACCACACATGAAAAAAAAAAAAAAAAAATCAAGGTGGCCGTTTTTTTTGAAGGGAATGTTTTTTGAATAGAATTTAAAAAAAAATATTTTTTTTTTTGAGAAGAGAAAAAAAAATGTAAAATGTTTATTTTAAGAAAAAAAAATTTTGAAGAGAAAAATTTGAATACAAAAAAAAATTTTTTTAGAGAGAGAATTATTATTTTTTTTGAAGACAAAGTTCTTAATGTTTTTTGAAGAGAGAAATAAATCATAGGACTTCAGAATAGGAAAGATCGAAGATTTTTTCAGCCTTGATTTAGTTTTTTTGCCGCTTCAGAGCTTTTGTAATATATATATATAAATGTGACTTGACAGATTATTGTCCTTTTTTATAAATGGTGTGAACTCTTGCTGTAACTGTAGGAGGGTGTAAATGCTGTTTATGTCATCGTACGTGGAGTTGAGGGAAGTCAAATGAAGGAAACAGACCTGGAAGTGTCCGGATCCCTGAACGGAGAAGATGAGGAAGACGGCGCTGCTCTCGACGAAGGCTCGCGTGAGCTTGAGCTCGTTGTTGGGCGTCGTGGACCAGATTCCCCTCTGCTGGGACAGATCGATGTTCCTCATGTTGCTGCTCTTCATGATGAAGTAGCGGACGCTCGATCGCAGCGGAGACGAGCAGCGCTGCATCAATAACAACCACACATCAGTCAACAACCACTCTTTCTGCTGAGCATTTCAGTGACAAATAACAACCTTTTGACTCAAACATCCACCAATACTTCCCCAATAGAGTCATAAAAGCTGCTTGTTTTCAACCTTTTTGGTAACACATTTAACAATAAGGTCTCATTCGTTAACATTAGTTAATGCATTAATAATTAATAAGAAATAATCT